AAGAAACTGACTTAAATGTTGAACAACATATGAGATGTCAGGCCTTGTCATGTTGAGATATAACAGTTTGCCAATAATTCTTCTATAAATCTCAGGATCTGAAATTTTCTCACCAACAAGCTTGTTGAGCTTCAAACCCTTAGGTAAAGGAAACTTAGCAGGCTTACAGTCCATCATACCAGTATTTTCCAGTAAGTCTAGAACATATTTTCTCTGATTAAGGAGAATACCAGAAGAAGATCTGGTAACTTCAATGCCAAGAAAATACTTAAGTGGTCCCAAATCTTTGATAGTAAACTGAGAATGCAACTGATCCTTCAAAGCTTGAATCAAAGACAAATTTGTACCAACAATGAGTAAATCATCCACATATGTGACCACAACTGTAAAATCAGAACCAGAAGAAGTAAACATTGAGTAGTCATACTTGGATTGTGTGAAACCAAGAGACTTAAAAAATCTGCTAAGTTCCATGTTCCATTGTCTTGAGGCTTGTCTTAAGCCATATAAAGACCTTTTTCAATTTGCAAACCTGTCCAGGTCTGGCTTTAGAATACCCAGGAGGAGGCTGCATATATAATTCTTCATCAACATACCCATGCAAAAATGCATTATTAATATCCAATTGATGCAATTCCATGCCACAAGCTGCTGCAAGAGCAATAACAAGTCTAACAGTTGTGAACTTTGCAACTGGACTGAAGGTGTGCTTATAATCTTTCCCTTTGATCTGTCTATCACCCCTGGCAACAAGTCTCCCTTTGCATCTTTCAACTGTTCCATCTGGATTAAACTTGGTTTTATAAACCCATTTACAACCAATAGGTTTAACATCTTTGGGACAATCAACTAAATCCCAAGTACCATTCTTCTCCAAAGCATCAAGTTCCTTGTTCATTGCTTCAACCCAAACAGGATCCTGTTTAGCCTGATTATATGAAGCAGGATCAACATGAGACAACAAGTTAGCCAGACTAGGAAGTTGATCTTTATAGAAGGAAGAAATAACAGGACAAACATAAGCATTGAAGCTTGAAGAACCAGAAGAACTAGCCTGACCAGGCAAACCAGTAGAAGGAACAATAAAACCTTCCAATTTAGAAGAAAGATTAACAGGCCTAGAAGATCTTCTCAATATAGGTGGATCAGAATGAACTAGATCAGAAACCTCAAGAACAGGAATAGATACAGAAGAATCACTAAGATCCTTCAGATTATTCTGAGTATTAGAAACAGAATCTGAGGAAGAAGAAACAGTAGCTTCAGAGGAATCTTGAATTATAGGGAAAGGTGGAATATCAGGATGATAAACTACAGGATTGACCATAGATCCATGCTGAAAAGAATCAGAAGATTCTATTAGACTTGAATCTCCAGATTTGAAAGGAAAAACCTCCTCAAAGAAAATAACATCCCTGCTCAAAATAATCTTCCTACTTTCCAAATCATAAAGTTTGTATCCCTTTTGACCATAAGGATACCCTAAGAAGATGCATTTCTTAGCCCTCCTAGCAAACTTGTCTGAAGTCTTATGAGCAGCATAACACAAACAACCAATGACCCTCAAATGATCATAAACAGGTAACTTCTTCATTAGAACTTCATAAGGTGTCTTCCAATGTAACACTGAACTAGGCATGAGATTAATCAAATATGTTGCAGCAAGAAGACAGTCACCCCAAAATCTGATAGGTAAACTAGCATGAAATTTTAAGGCCCTAGTAGTCTCAAGAAGATGTATGTGTTTGCGTTCCACCCTACTATTTTGCTGAGGTACCCCAGGAAAACTTCTATGATGAACTATGCCTTTATCAGAAAACAGAACAGAACAGGCATCTTGAATGATCTCAGTCCCATTGTCACTTCTAATAGTCTTGACAAAAGAAGAGAATTGATTTTCTACATAGGCTAGAAAACCTTTGACAATAGCAGGTACTTGAGTCTTATTATGAACTAGATGAGTCCAAGTAACTCTTGAAAAATCATCAAGTATAGTAAGAAAGTAATGAGCACCAGATAAAGTAGAATGCCTATATGGTCCCCAGAGATCAACATGTATTAACTCAAAGGCACAAGAAGCATGAGAAGAAGAGATAGGAAAAGGATGTTTATGAGCTTTAGCAAAAATACATGATTCACAACCAAAATCATTGATTTTATTTGAAGCAAAAGGAACTGTCAATTTGGAAAATTCTGTACAGAGATATGACCTAGCCTAGAATGAAGTAAACTAAGCTTAGGTCTAGAAGAACTAACATGACAAGAAACAGAAGAAGAGTCTTCATACAAAGGTTTATTTGAACTAGAAAAAGAAGGTGAAGTAAATTTGTACAATCCAGCTTGTTTGACTCCAACAGCTTTAACTTGACTAGTGATTGAGTCCTGAAAAACATATGAATCATGCTTAAATTTTGCAACTAATGTAGGATACACAGTAGGAAAAGGATCCATATTGATGATATTAGTCTTAGCAGCATCATAATCTCTATCTAGACCAGCTAAAAACTGAATTAACTTCTGCTTTTGATCAGCAGCAAGAATTTTCTTCAGAATTCCACAAGTACAATGAGCTAAAGCTCCACAATCACAATCTGGAAAACCTTCCAATAGTTGAATTTCATCCCAAACTCTTTTCAATTTAGAGTAATATTGGACAATTGAATCAGAATCTTGTTCTATAGAAATCAACTTCTTATGCAAATCAAATAACTGAGGCGCATTAAATTGGCCATACCTTTCAACAATTTCTTCATACAATTGATTAGCCGATTGTTGAAGAATGAAGCCTTCAGAGATTATCTTCTCCATAGAATTCAGCAACCATGACTGAACCATATAATCGTTTCTAATCCATTTTTGCAAATCCGAAGAATCTGCATCAGGTCGTCTACAAGTTCCATCAATGAAGCAGAGCTTGTTCTTCGCTCCAAGCACAAGTCTAATCGCACGATTCCAGGTAAGGAAATTGTCGCCATTAAACTTGTGAGCTCCAAGATGTTGATCAGGTTGATCACCAGATCCAAGGAAGTACTTATCAGTGTAACCAGCAGCAGAAATTGATTGTTGATTAAGAGAATCTTGAGCCGCCATTATAGTATAAGAAGAAGAGGAAGAAGAATCAATCAAACGATTGAAATAATCGATGAATCAAGTTCGATCGATCGCAAAAAATTCGCCTCAATTTCAAGAAAAATTGAATCGAATTAAGGTAATTTGTCAGCAAAATGCTGAATCAAAACAAAATCTAGCGAAAAACAAGCAAATCAAACCAGAAAATCAATCCGAAAGATCGAAATCCTTCTGCTCTGATACCATGAAAATTGATACACTTAAACTTGAACCAAAGAATTTAGAGAGAGAAAATGTAGAAATTAATTTGGGGATTTATTATTCTGATATCTCTCTCAAAATAATGTATAGCCTGTAATAAATATTTATAGCCTAACTCCTAACTAACTTGCTGACTAGGAAAAGCTATAAATATAAAATACAAATAATATGTGAGGTGTACAATTCTGTTATACAAGCCTAACAGAATATAGAAGCTTCTAGTGGAAGCTGCTGTGTATCCTACAATTCACTTTGACATTTCTTGCCATATTTTACCAATAAGTTAAATAACTAGTTACATTGTTAGGAGATTTTATTTTCCAGATGATACGACTATACGAAAATGATTGACAATAATCTATATGATAATTTATTATCATTACTTTGAACGGGATGTTCATATTGTTGATCGATAATTTTTAATCAATTGTTTGTGTTCATAAATTCTTGATTGCCGTTGTAAAAAAAAATAAAAATAAATAAAGATAAAAATAAAAATAAAAAATAAATTCTTGATTTGTCAATCACGTTTACAATAGTGAAATCATATACCAAGTTATTGGTTTTTCGCTCATTCTCAACTGATCATCATAATTCGAATGAATGTATCCTTGCAGAAGAAAAATGGCAGAGCGGGGATAGGTTTCTCTACAAAGTTCAACACTTTATTCACCACCCCTTTGGGCACTCTTGTCTTATTCTCGATGTACAAGCTAGCTAGTTTAAGTTTCGAAAAATGAATATTTCTTATACTTTTTCCGTTCTTTTATTTTAGTATTGCACCTTATTGACTTTTACGTTTTTTCATATGCTATGCCAATGACTATCTATTGTAATTTATAAGTAACGAATAATATAGTCATGCGGAAAATTGTTTGAACCGTCTTGATTTGTACTTTCAGTATATCATTTTTTTTAAAAAAATTATTTATTAAGAGTTAAACATATAAACAATTAAAGATTATGTGTATTGACATGTTGAAACTCATTTCATCCCACTTGTGAGTGTTCTATATTGAAGAAAGAGAGAGGTGTTTGCACTTTATAAGGTAGAGAAGTAACCCATACTATTGTCAATAATTAGTTTTAGTATGGAAGCTCATAAGTCTTGTTTGTGGACCAAACTCTCTTTCTTATTATTTGGATTGCCCAGACCCATTTCATATTGTTTCGAAATTTAACATGGTATCAGAGTCACCTAGATTTGTTGGGCCGTTTATAGTTAGGTATTTGTCAAACTACATATTGAACAAGTCAATAAGTCATGCCTATTTAGGACATGTGCATGATGATTTGATTTATAGAGATCGACTGATATGCTATAAGGTTCGTTGATTATTATGTCTTATGCTCTCGAGTCTTGAATGTCTTAATTCGTCATCTTTGACTTTGAATTATGTTGAATCTTCAAATGCATGTTCTTTTACATACATCATATTATGATAAAAATAATATATACTTCGTGCTTCGTTACATTTACTTGATAAAATAAAATAAAAAATACTCACGAAAAAGACAGCCGAGGAGCAACAACGACTATATAAATCATAAATTTGCAAAATATATATGCAAAAAATAGCCATGCATATATAATATTTCTCTCTATCTTCTTCAATGTTAACCAAAAAACCAAGGAGTAAATTTTACGTACTACACTACTCTTTACAATAATGGGGTTGATAGGGAAGATAGTTAGGAAGAGGGAGCAATATCTATCGATGTATTCACCATCTCGATACTCAAAAATATTTAGTGACGAAGAGAGTATACATAATAATAATCATCATAAACGTGAAGTTAGACGAGGATATGTGCCTGTTTTGGTAGGCAAGTGTGAGGAGGAAGAAGAGAGGTTTATGGTACCTTTAGGATGGATGAAGCATCCTTCTATTGTTGATTTGCTTCAATTATCCGCTAGTGAATTTGGGTATCATCAGCAAGGTGTTATTCAAATTCCTTGTGAAACACTTCATTTTCGAGTTGTTATGGAGAAAATTTCTTCCCAAAAGAAAGGTCTAAGATTATGAAATTGTTGCAGACTTGATCCCTAGATTTCAGGGATACGAGGTGGGAGCGATGTCACTACTCCATCACCTCAACCTCAAAAAGTGGGATTTTTTCAGGGTGAGACTTGAACCTTGCATCTCGAGGATGCGTGGTGACCCTTAGGCCACTTCACTAGGTTGTCTTCCTCAATTGCCTCCTTGGTTCTTGGGAAGATCATTTTCATAAAATATTTTGTGTAGGACGATATAGTATAGTAAGTTATATTAGTTGGTCTTACTTAAAAGAGAGAATTTTGTTATTGTATTTTTTAGTGTACAGAATACAAATAAGATCATGATTTTCACCTATTAAGCTAGGCCTTGTTTTCTCTACAACTTCATATTATGTATGATAAACGACAATTATCATATCCATTGTTTCACCCTTTAAAATCGAGGAGAGGTGTAATATATACAATATAGAACAAGGATATGTATGATGGTAAATTAGAATCAAATTTAAATCCCTTAGTTATCGGATGAAGTACTGTAATGGTGTATTCTACGGATAATGTAAATATTGGTCTTAGCTTGTTACTTATTGGCTAGCTTGGAAGTCAATTTTAAAGATATTCAGATTACTAATATCGTTTATAAGTACTCCATCTGTCCCCTTTTGATAGTCTCTTATGAGCATTTTTCACAGGAATTAATAAACACAAAAAAAAATAGTTAAAGTACATTGAAAAAGTAAATTGACATTGGGTATGCAAAAAAATAGAGAATGAAAGTAATAAAAGTACATGGAAAAACAAAATTTACATAAAAAAGTTAGATTTGCACAAATATTGTTGCAAATTTGAGGGAATTTTGGTAAAAAATTAATATTAATGGTGGTTGGAAAAAGCAAATGGGGTGAACATTTTTGGACTAAAATTTGTCCATAAAGGATTATCAAAAGGGGACGGAGAGAGTATGTTTTAAACTACCTCCGTTTCATATTATTTGTAACGATTAGACATTTTTTTCTATACTTTATGTCAAATCATTATAGATAATATAAAACGGATGTAGTAAGTGAGTTTGGACCGTTGGAACTTTGGATGTAGTAATTGAGCCACATGAAGACTATATGATGTTGATTTATTCAAATTAAGATAAAGACTCGATCATTATGATAACTTTTTTTTTTTTTTTGCTTGTAGGAAGTATGTCTCTCCTAATTTTCAAATTTATGTATTAAAATATTACCCATTCCATTTGAAATGTTAAAATCTTCAATAATGGTCATGTTCATGTGATTTGAAAATCATATTCTTGTATATACTACATATATCATCTATGATATGATATTTTGCTACAAAATATCTATCGCTAGTCACTAGTCAAGCCAAGAGTGCCACGTGGCATATGATGACTTTGCTTGACAATTTTTTTTTTTTTTTTTGGTCCTTTGTTGCATTATTATAAAGATAAAAATCCGTTAACCCAGAGAAGTATTTTTTATGTATTTGGGGAACTGGAGTGGCTACTTACAATTGTTATGCTGATGATTTATTATCCTCGAATTATTTTGACTTTCAATACATATAAGTTTAGGATAAAAAAATGAATTTAAATAAGGTATGTTCAAACAAAGCAAGTTTCAATATCAAACGCATTAAAAAATTCATCAAAAATAAATTTAGATTAGAAAAATTCAGCTCATCAAAGCAATTACAAACTTAAAAAAAAAAAGCAAATACAAACCTTAAATAGTCCATATTTAGGCATTTTTTTTTAAAAAAAAAGGGGAGGGGTGTACAACTAATAAATGATTTTACCTCGCCAACTCGTCATGTGCCCTATTGGCCTCATTTAGCACTTAGCAAATGAGAATGAATAAATGATCACTTTTGTAACAAGTACAACAACTATAGTTTTCCATCTATTAGGGCTCACAGTCTCTTTATTTTATCTGCTTCAAGGAAAATCGTTGTTAAGAGAAGAAGTAAATAAAGTAACAATTGACATTTAAGGGCCTAAGCTGAATTGAACTTATTAGAGTTAAACTGAACTGAATTGAAATTATTAAAGCTTAACTGAACTGAAGTGAAATGAATATTTTATAAGAGAAGGAAATTAAGAGCTGAACTGAACCGATATTATTAGAGCTGAACTGAACTTAATAGAGCTGAACTGAACTGAACTTATTGCAACTGAAAATAATCGTATGAGAACAGGCCCTTAGCCTAGATTTTAAACCGATAATAAATTTCCTCTTTAATTATCAATTCATGTTACAGTTTATTTAAAACTATGTGTCAATATTTTTGCAATGAATGATGAATAAAAAACAAAAGCTCTGAACTTGCTCTTTAATAAAAAACAATAATAATCACTTCATTTCATCATTTTCATACCTTGACTTGATTAATCTTTTTTTTTTTTTTACTTGACTTGATTAGTTGATTGTTTTAAACTTTGTGAGTTGCTACACTTTTGTACTACTAGACGAAGAAGACTAGACTAGAGTAGATCATGTAGATGGTAGATGTTCATGTACATGTGTAAAACATGTTGCTAGTTATGGAGGAGTATTTGTTTGACAAGCAAGTTAATAATCTTATTTAGTCTATGTTCGCTTCACTTTATTTGGATAAATTAATATAAGAAAAAAAAATATTATGCTTCGACAAGTTTAGCTATGAAAAATGGAGTTCAATTTATAGCTAAATATGTTAAGATAATGCTATAATATCTTTATGTCAATGACATTATAATTTATAAGCTCCAAATAAATAAAATTAGATGATTCAAATTAGTTGATTATACAATGAATACACTCTTAAACCCCCATTTTGACTTGCATAGTTTATAGACAATACTCATTGTGCCTAGCTTGAATGATGTCCATAGACCACACATAATACTCATGGAGATGGTCCATCAACTACCATGTCTCACTCTCACATGCCCGTGCAGGGTTATGGTGAGCTCAAGCTAGCTTGATTGACTCATGCCAACTGCATCATTAATGCATTAAGGGCCTGTTCTTATTGACTGAACTGAGCCGAACTGAACTGAATATTTTGAATGAAGTTAACAAATGAACTGAACTAAACTGAAAATAAGTTGAAGAGAAAAGTTTTAGAGCTTGTTCACTTCAACTTAATTTCAGTTCAGTTCAGCTCTAATCAGTTCAGTTCTTAATTTCCTTACTCGTAAATATTCATTTCAATTCTATTCAGTTCAGTTCAGTTCAGTTCAACTCCTGTATTATCCAATATTTTTATCGAGAGGCAAATCACGCAATAAATTGAATTACTAATGTGGGTCATTTTGTTTCTTATAGCATGAATATTATTGTTTCTAATAATTCTAATTTGTTTTCTATTTTTTCAACTAATACATTAAGATTTAGGAATATCCTGTGCCTGTTTTGGACGATAGAACGGGGGGAGGAGGAGGGGAAAGGGATTTCGAAAAGAAATTCGAGCCGTGCAAGGACGCGGGGATATAGCAAGTAAGCCGAGTAGTCATCCGATACGACGGATGGCTGACCCCTACAAGAAGAGGAGGCGGGCGCTCAACCCAAAAGGTTGGGGGGTGGTGAGGACTTTCCTAATTATCACTATATACAGTAATTTTTTTTACCGACGTACGGAAGTATAAAGCAATTTATCAAAACACCTTCTCAAACATCTCGTATAATAAACCATCAATTACAATTTACAATCGTCGGAAAACCCCAAACCCTACTCCTAGAAAAATCCCCAATTTCTCTTCTGCAATTCCCAATTCTTCACAACCCTAACCCTAATAAATGTCGATCAGCTTGAGGAAAGCCAACACTCGTCTTCCTCCTGAGGTGAACAGAGTTCTCTACGTTCGTAATCTTCCCTTCAACATCACCAGCGAAGAGATGTACGACATTTTCGGAAAGTACGGAGCAATTCGTCAAATTCGCGTCGGAACTAACAAGGATACTCGAGGAACAGCCTTCGTAGTGTACGAGGATATCTACGATGCTAAAACTGCTGTCGATCATCTTTCTGGGTTTAATGTCGCCAATCGTTATCTTATTGTGTTGTATTACCAGCCTGCTAAGATGAACAAGAAGATTGATTTCAAGAAGAAGGAGGAAGATCTTGTCAAATTGCAGGAGAAATATGGTGTTTCTACTAAAGATAAGTGAATTTTTTTTTTTCTGGGTTTTAGGCTTTTTAACGAATTGTATGTAAAATGCGGTTGAATTGATGGTATTGTATTTTCTGAGAATTAATACTGGTAATACTTAATATTTTAGTGTTATATTTTCGAGGATTGTTAATTTCTGTGTTATTGTTTGATAATTCTTGTTTTGATTAAATCAGTGACTTGCGGCATTATAATTTGAATAGTTGCAAACTAAAGTTAAGGAATATTAATGATGAGTTTTAGGAAAAAAGTTGAAGACGGAGGCAGTCCGATGAGAAGGGAGAACTGTTATTCTCTAGTGAAATCACCCCTGTAGTTTGCATTAAGCTACTATATATTTGTTATTGTACATGATGTCTTTTAGGAGCGTTTATCGCGTTATCTCTGTTTTGGGATCATCTGTTTTATTTTTGTTCCTATTTAGTTTTTGTGGAGTTTGATGGGGTTTCGAACATATAAGCTTTGTTTGGCTGTGATTGCTTATGGTTGTGCAAGATGGTCTAGCATGTCGTGTGTTATTTTTCGGGTTATAATTTATCAAGTGATCAATAAGTGATAGAGGATGAGGTTAGGATTGAATGGATTCATTAAGGTACACCATATGTTTGGGTGGACATTTTGCATTGGTACCTTATGGCTCATGCTAGTGATTAACTTTATCGTTTATTTTGTTGCTTTTGTCTAGATTGTTTCATGTTTTATATTCGAGGCATTTTGAAGTGATATTATTTTGAGGGCTTAGATCATTTTTTGGTATCTCTACTCTTTTGGGAGTAAATCTGTATGAAATTATCGGATATTTAGCTTGATATAGTTTGTGTGTCTTTTAGATTTAGGCTATGTACTTTACTTAGGAGTAATGA